GAGGGTCAGAAGACCCAACCATAGGGGGGGTGCACGCCCTTACGTGCGCTTTTCGCCGCCTAGCACCCATAGCAGCTCATCAGAGGGGTTAGAATTAGTAAAGGCTCCTGTTAGCATACGGGGTGGGGGATGGGGGATAAGTGAGCAGGGCGTCATAGGTTTCAAGGTGGTACCGAGTTACAGGTTAGCGAGTTCGTACCTGAGCTGTCATGGCTGGTGCCGCAGGGGAGTCAACCGCCGCCATAGTACGAGGATCGTAGCGCAGCGCGGTGTCAGTGGGCTTACGTAGTAAGCAGCTTGCTCAAGACACCGTAGCGGACCAGACTGCTCCCTTGAACTAGTATCAGTACGTGAGCAGATTTACTCAAGTAGGGGAGATGCGTATGCAAGGGCTTCGCACGCGGCATGAAACAGCAGGCCAGCGTTGGTGTGGTATGGCGAGTAGCATAGAGTATATGTAAGGAAGTAGCGTGTGCCATCTAGAATGTGGCCAATGGTAGCTAAGTGCAAGCCATAGGAGTTTTGCGTGGTTGGTCATTTTAAGGGGTATGATTAAGGGGTAATCATGAGGATAGCAAGGATCGGAGGGTGTGTGCGGTATCTGCATTGTTGGTGAACAGGGTAGGAGAGGGTAAGCCAGTGTCGAGATAGCAGGGAGCGGGAACGGGCCGGGAGGTCAGGATGGGAGAATTTTTCATACGTATTTTGATGGCGGGGTTGGAGTGGACGGTATGTGCTATGCAGGCGAACGTGGGTGGGCAGAGGCGGGTTGGCGACGTTTTTTTGTTTATTGTCTTCTAGCTTATTGTTTTTTATGGGGGAGACGGGCTATGGTGGTAGTGTGCTGCGCTGTACGTTTGTTTTTTAGCGACGCTTCGATGTGGTGCGTCTCCCGATGGTATGCTTTTACAGGTGTAGTTGACCTGCGGTGCGAGCTCTGCGAGGGGGGAWRAGGAAGCAAGGCGCTTKCTGGGGGTAGCCCTGTAGAAGACTCGGATAGGTGGCGAGTAGTTGTGTAGTGGATAGCCTTGCTTTGTAGGGGGGATATGGGGTATACTGCAGCTGCGATTTGCGCCGGTGTAGTTGTTGCTGGGAACTAACTAGGCGTAGGGTGCGTGTTGTCTCATAGTGTACTTGCAGAAGGTCATTTTGGTTGTAATTGGATGGTGTGTGGCTATGTCCGTACTCGTTTTTCGTCATATATACTCTTCCTTCCTCGTGCGCGTGTTTGTATTCTTGCGTGTCAGCCGTGCCGTTTCGGGATGGTGCAATAGTGGTCGTGACGCATGAGCGAAAAAAAGGGTTTTGCTTTTTGTTTTATCTGCCCTCCTTCTCTTTATTTTTATGTTGTTACTTTTAATTCCATATTTCTTATCAAGCAGGAAGTCGGTGACCCATAACTAATACGCCTAGCCTTGTTATGTGGTATATATACTAAAGCTTTGTCAAGTTTGCAACACGGGCGTGTACTAGGCTATCGTTGGGTTGGTATCGGGGCTGTAGGCAATCCTCTGAGGTTTCCTTTGTTTTATTGGCTGGTTAGGTACTTATCTTACAATTTTTTATTTAATTTAATTTAATTTTTATTTTATCTCATTTTTATTTTATTTATTCTATTTTTTATGTTTTTTTAAATTATTTATTTTATTTTTTATTTTTTATTTTTTTATTTTATTTATTTTATTTTCGTTAATTTACTTTTTAAAAAAATAAATAATATATACTTTATTTATTAAATCAGTATGTATTTTTTATTATTTTTTAATTTTTTTTTTTATCTTTTTTTTTTTTTTTAATTAAGTAATAATCGATTTATTTTTTAATTAGATTTATTTTATTATTTATTTACTGAATTACTTACTTAATTACATTTAATACTATTAAGAATTGGATATGTGTATGTGTATGTGCGTGTGTGTGTGTGTGTGTGTGTCCCTCCCCGTTCCCTCGTGATGAAGGTCCCAGTGGGGTAGGCCCAAGGATGTTGGACCTACCCCGGGGTAGGTCCTTCATCCGAACCAAGCCAGTTTTGATAGCATACACACACATATATATATATACATATATATGTATATATATATATATACATATATATATTGTTTTATTGTTTCTAAAATAGGATTTTGTGAGTTCTTATGTGTGCATGTTGGGGTAGTAATTTTTCATGAGTTGCGGAAGGGTTGGTAGTCCCCGGGGTTGCTCAGGACCTTTGCTGCGACAGCGAGGAGTCTATGTTTTCTAAAGCCGTTGCCTTCCAAGGCTTGTATTATTAGCATGACTTCTTTTGCAGCATGCAGAGGTTGCATTTCGATGGTCATGATAGAGATGATTTGGGGTATTAGGAGGTTTAATGATTGTTTGAGGGGCCTGTTGGAATTGGCTTGGATAAAGCGTGTGATGGGGAAGTTCAATTGTCTCCTCTTATCATATTTATTTGTGATGTATTGTCCGGTTTCAGGATTTGTGATAGTAACAGTGGTGTTAAAAAAATTGGCTTGATTTCCGATGCTCTGGTTATCTTATTGTGTTTTCTGTGTAGTTGTTTCATTAAGGGTGATAAGATGAAGCGGATACAAAAAATATCGGCTACGAGGGCTGCAATTTTTTAGGTCGATAAATTCGTTAATCCTAGGATTGTTTATGATGTGGAAATCATCAAAATACCGAAAGGTGTGTTGAAAAAGGTGCAGCAATTTCATATTGCTTTTGTGAGTCATTTTTTTCATGAATTTAAATTCATATTTAAAGAAATATATTTTACACCATACAGGTGAGCAGCTAACCCCCATTGGGATTCCAAGCACTTGCCTCCAGATACTGCCTCCAAGGGAGATGCACGCATTTTTTATTAGCCAATTATTAATTTCTAGGACGATATTTTCATTAAGGGTAAGATATTCATTTGGTGGGTTCAAAAACCAGTCGCAACTAAAAATCTACGTTTCTTTATTTCTGTATATTTTGAAGACTAGTTGTACATTTCTTCCGTATGTCTTTCTTGCTTGCATAAAGGCAATTTTGCAAAAAAACTGGATGGCGGTCGGAAGGCCATCTTGACTATCGTCAGTGGGAATTGTTTCGTAGCATCGCGTTATGTCAACCGAAAAGACCGAGAAAACATTTGGCGGGAGATTGTATTTGTAATCCACTGTCGAACCTATTGGCCACCAGAAGGGTACTTTGAGTCCTGTTTTTGTGAATATTTTCTGTGTTAGATTGCCGCAGTGGGTTTTCACAGATTGGATCAGGGGCGCAAGTACTACTGCAGCAAGGTCTGCCAGGGGTGTAGTGATGACTTCTGCTGCATTAGTTAACCATCGAAAGGAGTTTTTGTGTTTCTTATATGTGGCAAATAAGTAAGGTAGTTCCATTTTGCCGGTAGGGATGTCTGGGAATTTAATTGTTAGTTGTTGCTTCATGATTTCTAATAGTTCAGAAGACGAGAATATTCATTGCTCAAAATCAGGGTTGCTGAGCCTCTGGAGTGCAAGGTATCACACAAGGTTGATGCATGTAAATACCGGGGTGTTAGGTGCTTTGTCAGCACCAAAGATGTAGAAGTTTTTGGTTAGGAAGTTAATTTCATGTTTGATGGCATGATCATTAAGGCTTACTACTCTATGTGTGATTACATTTTCGAGACTTCGGCTGATTACTTTGTCGAAGTCTGCTTTTGCCAGATCTTCTTGGGAGAAGGTTAGAGGCGAACCGTTTTTTTGAAGGGTCATCATGACTTGTGTCCAAACCAGTTCTGCTGCAACAACAACATCTTTGGTATTAAGTGATGTGGGTGGGATGTGATTTAATCCGTTTTTTATAAGGCCACGAAGATTGGTGTTGCTTACAATATTGAGATCTAGTGTGATGACATACGGTTGTTCTTCTTCGAGAAGCAAGCCAACCGGAGTACGTTGGCAAACAACCCATATCAAGGTTGCTGGCAAAAACATTTCTCGGGGATTTGCTCTATCCAATGTGGCAGTTTAAAGTATCGAAACACTGTTGCTTACTTATATAAAGTTTTCGCTATGTGGTCGTTGTAGGTCCATGAGAAAGTGAATTTTTCCAGGATGTGAAGGGCTTCCGGGTTATGTTTAAGTAGTATATTTTTAAAGATATTTTTGAATTGTATTCGTTTCATTAATCGGTTCGAATAGTGGAAGGAGATGATCTGTTTGTCTGTTTCTTTCTTCGACATCCAAGTCTTCTGTCCTCCATTGTCTGAAGCCTTCGATCCCGCACATTTGAGAAACGAGTGGTTATTTGTACTGGGTTATAAAACGAGCATAGGCCTGAGATAAATGAAACATGACTCTGAGAACTAGGTTATCGAATGAGCACAGGTCTATAGTTCAAAATAGTTGTTGTTTGAGCTAGGCTATAGACTGAGCACGTCCTGAGCACTACGTTGCTACCCTTAGTTGGGTAAAGCATAAGTACAGGTTTCTGCTACTTTGTGCTGGGTTTTTTAGCGGGTTATGAACCTTTATTTCAGGTGCAGTCTGAAAGTGTCCTTTTAGCATTATAACAATTCACAGACATAGGTTGATAGATTCAGTCTTAAAACAGATCAAAAAGGGTGTTTTCTTCGGTATTAAGACATCACAGTAAATACTGTGTCTTATCCGAGGGTGCGTTTCGAGGGAGATCTATAAATCGGTTTACACAGATTCAACTCGAGGATGTGCTAGTGCAATTTTTTCTTGTGTTTTATCTGTAGCCGTGTGTGCCCTTGTATATGTAATGCATTGTGGCGATGTTGACAAAAAGAAGAAGGTGTGCACTTATGGGAATAACACATTTGTAGTGACATACCAATAGGTTTTGTGAAAAAGCAAAAAAAGAATTTTCAGTTCAACATTGATGTCCCACAGAAGTTCCTACATAACAGAAGAGATGCTTAATTTTTCAAATGCATAAGCTATCAGCTCATATGAAAAATCAGGCATATGTATTGTTCATCTGGTAAGTAAACCATCAGCTCAAAAAAATAGAGGCCGAGGACCCCAGCAGTTTGATTCAGAATGAGTCTGCTAAACTGATCGGGTTTAGCCTATCTTATTGGTAGCAGCCTATTAACTAAGGTATGGAGCTTTAAACCAAATCAATCAGAGATAACTTAAGACCAAAGAAAGTTAGCGAATTTTCTATCTTAGCATCTAGAAGAACTGGAAAAATCTAGAGTCTGAGTAAAGTCCTCTGTAGCTCACGGACCGCGTTGTTCTGACTACTGTTATGGAGCAGAAAAAGATTTGTGCAGCTACCTTCGCAACACATCGTATAAGTGAGTAAGAAGTCTCACGCTGCTACCTTCGCAACACATTGTCTACTCATAACCTCTTATATTAAGCAATGCACCAAGCAGGTCAAGCTGGTTCTGTAACAACTTAGCCCCTGGTAATGTTGGCAAAACTGCAGTGATAGTCTGGGTTGAGCCTTCTGCAGACTCGTTTCCAAAACTCCTCAGACGATTGCGACTCCGTCAGGTCGGTTGTGTTTTCGCTGCTGGTGTGGAGCAGGGAGGATTCAGCGCTGCTAGCTCCATAGTTCATTCTGAGCGCATCAATGGCGGATACTGGACGTATCGGGGTGCCGGGTGAAGGCGAGATGATCGTGATCGGGGGTTGCCTCCTTTCTTCATCATTGACGTCACTGCTGCTGATCTGGATTACGTCTTGGTTCTCAGCGATCTCCTGTCTGGTGGAGGGGAGCACTGTAGTTGCACCTGGAAGAGTCCATTGTTGCATGATCTGTTCTGCATGTGGCGCCCATACTTGGTTGCCTTCCGATTGTCCGGGACGGCTGATGAGCCGTCTGCTGCTGGTTGCGCACGCCTGCTCTAGCGTATGCTTCTGCTGTTGCGCCAATACTATCGTCTGCAGTTGCTGTTGTGCCATGAGTACGTCCTGGATGTCTGGTTGCTGCCCATCATATTGCGCAATCTTCCTCCTTATTTGCCTTCTTGTCTGCACCCCTTCTTGAATTACCGTTAGTCTTTGAGTTTTCCTGCCTCTTCTGGTCTTGGCTCTTTTGGGCTCAGGAAGTGGATTCATAGCAATACTCAGCAGTTGCTCGCGCCTGCGCGCCAGCCTTTCTGCTTCCGTAAGAGAGGGGCCTGCTATTGCTCCGTGGGGAGTGCTGTTGTGGTTGAAGACATTGCGGTTTGCTTGTGCCGAGTGCAGCGCAGAGGTATCAATTCTTACGGCGGCGTTGGCGACGGTCAGTGGGTGTCGAGTTCCCAACTGTGCTGCGGTGGTGGCAAAGGCATTGCTTGTGAGTTGAGCAGTTGCAAAGACATAAACTCTTGTTCTGTCAGTGTTGTTGACAAGCGGAATCTTAGGTACGGGTGTAGCGTTGCGGTTCAGAATCGGCGTGTTGCTGGTATGAGGGATTTGTGCGGAGTGTGTTGTGGCAGCAGTTGGAGTGTTGTGGTTTGCAGCTGGCGTGGTTGTGGTTGTGAGTGGTTGCGGTGTCCTGTTAGGTTCGTGTTGTTGGGTGGTGGGTGTTGTGGAGGTGTGGACCTGAGGAGTGACAGTTGCGTGAGTGTGTGTGGCCTGAGAAGGTGCGATGATATTTGGTTGCGCAGAGGTGGGGGCGGTGATGCAGGGTTCAGCAGTTGGATTGCCAGAGTGTGCATGCTGTAGTGGTGGGTTTGTGGCTGATGGAGTTGTGGGAGTGAGCGAAGATATGGGTACAGAGGCAGTGCCCAGTCTCATTTGTCGGCACCTTCTCAGTGAGTTCCCTTCAAAGTCGGGGCAGCTGTGCCTGTTCGCTGGTTGTGCCATGAGTCCCTCAGCACCAGGTAGAATGGCAGCAGTAAATTTGTGGACGAAAGGTACATTTCTGAAATCTTCGTAGTTGAGGATTTCTTCAGCGGTGATGGTTCTGTTCTGGGTGATCAAGTGGACGATCTTGATCATGTATTCCCGCATAAACATGAAGGAGATTTGCACCATGATAGGTTTCCTCCATGAGGTCTGCAGGAGAGCTTGGAATTCGAGCATCCGGATCTTGTTAGACGGTGCGTGTGGATCAACCTTGTCCAGGTTGCCGATGACATACCAGATCATGTGGTCGAACCATATAAAGTTACCTTCGCAGCTGAGGCAGGTACACTTGAGGTAAGGTCTTCCGGCGTTCCAAAGCTTCTTGAGCTCGGACAAGTCCGCAGGGAACTTTAAGATGCCTTTCTGATGGAGCAGAGGTTTTCTTGGGCATCTTCCCTTCTCGAGGCTTGCGATGGGAGGGAAGTCAGCATCTAATCCACCTCTTGTCGGAGGGAAATGGATGGTGCCATTCCTTGCCGTCGTACGACAGTTGTCTATATCTGCCTCAGTAAGTCCTGCTAGAGCCATGTAAGCCTCCACGCTGATAGGTGCTGCATAATTGAAGGTGTCAAGTTTCCATAGGCGGTTGTGCACTCGTTGTACCGCTTTCTCAGTCCAGCAGTTGGAGGCTAGCGGCAGGAAATGACTGTTCTGGCCGAACTTGTGACCAGCGTTTGCAGTGATCGGAGTGATCTCTGTGTGCGCGTTGTTTCTACGTTCCGCCTCTTTCTTCTTGAGGTAGTCTAGCTCGACCTGAGAGAGGGACATGCGGTTAATGTATGCGTTGGTGAAAGTTTCGTTCCTTTCTGCGATGGAGATCTGTCCAGCAGAGTCGAGGTGTGAAGCATCGTAGCCGTGCAGCTCGAGGATGGTCTTCTCTGCCTTGGCAATGATGAGGTTCAGCTCTTTATTTTCGATTGCTGACTTTCTGCAGACCTCAGCGATATTGCTCTCTAATTCTTCCGGCTTGTTCTGCATGATGGCCACAAAGGAAGCCTAGTCACTGAACGAAAGATTTTCGATCAGGAATGGAGTCTGTCCCACCGTGGCTTCATAGACTTGCAGGAGGACATCTGCGGGGATAGCAAGCATAGCTATCTGGCAGTGCACATTAGGCGGCTGCAGAGCTGCAAATGGCCTTATTGTTGATGCAAGTTCCGGGTGCCAACCCATGCGGATTCTAGTTGTCAGATATGACATGTATATTATGTTTAGTACTATTTGTTATTTTTCTATGAGTGGTTTATGTACTTAGTGATGTCTTAGAGGCGTGCAGCGAGAGGTGAGGTTAATTATTGAGAGTGTTAGATGTTTTGATACTTGTTTAGCATTGTAGTATTGTGCTTAATCAGATTTGTAGGGGGAGAGGGGTCGTTTTTATTTGTCCCTCCAATCGTACTAGAACCGGGTGGGTCGTGTTTATTAAAAATAAAAAAATAAAAAATAAGTGCTTCTCAGTTTGTTTCTATTTTTCATTTATTATTTTTTATTTTTTTATTTTTTATTTTTTTATTTTTTATTTTTTTATTTTTTATTTTTTTATTTTTTATTTTTTATAATTATTTTAATATATATATATCTTTTATTTTTAATTTTTTTATTTTTTAATTGTAATTTTTAATTTTAATTTTAATTTTAATTTTTATTTTGTATTCATATCGTTAGTCAATTGCGGATATCACAAACTGGGGTTCTATTCCACAGGAGTTGGAATTGGATTTTCAAAAAAATGTTAGTTTAGGGTCAGTTAAGGGGAGTAAGGGTGTTTTTTTGCAAAAAAAGATTTATGACACATTTTTTCGTACATGGTTCTAGAAGTACGCTTTGTTCTGGTATGAGTGCGTATGTTGAGTGCTAGTTATTTGACTCAACCAGTGGTACTGGTTTTGTTGCGGAAATTTTTTTTTGTCAGGGTCTTATCTGTTCCGGGTTCTGTTGGTTTTGTTTTTTAATAGTGTAGTGTAGCTTATTCAGGTTATGTATTGGGGGTGTATTGGGTAGCCATTTCCGTATGTGTGGATTTTTAGAGGTGTGTGGAGGTTTGGGTTGTCATTGCTTGTCGTGAGTAGGCGATGGTAGTGAGGGTATAAATATAGAGCGTGGGTATGCGTTTTATTGTCAATATAGGTGCCATCTGTTTGTGGATTTGCGATAGCGCAGTATCGTACAGAATGTGTATGGCGTTGTGTACTTCTGGCGAGTCTGGGACTGCTGATGAGGGTTGTATAGCGATCAGCAGGGACTGATCATCCTGTATCGAGTTTGATCGTGACCGGAGGTGAGGAAGTCCAAACTCTTAGGAGGCTATTTTCATAGAGAAGAAAGGGGCGGCGGATAGCAATTCAATCATTGGAAGTACGTGACACGTGGTGAGCTCGAGACTTAGCGTTTTTTACGGCAAACGTGTGGATCTGTTTCGCCCAGCTATGGATATCTTTACTACATGCGTGGGCGAGGTTTTTGGGAAGACGGTTGAGGTTCAAGAGCTTCGCCACCGTCGAGGTGATGGTGGTGATAAGGATTTTGGGTATAGCCAGCGGGTGGGAGGCAACTTCGTTCGCCACTATCGTGTTACCGCGGATGGGCGATTGGTTTTGAAGCTGTGTGCAGGTCTGGGGTACTGGGCAGGCTTGCTTAGTGAAGTGACTGTTTTCGTTACTAAGACATCAATGGATATCCCAAATGAGGTTCCTACCAATGGTGTAGATGTAGTGGCGGGGATGGTGGAGTTACTCACAAGCGATTTGTTACAGGAGTATGCGGACAATCGGATAAATTTTGTTGAATGGGAGGCTATATTTTGGAAGCACCGTTAGTCGCGCGCAGATCTATGTCAGGTGTTTTGGAAATCTCGGATAGCTACGATTGGTAATGGTGTTATCCGTTTTTGTGCTATCCGTCCACGGTTGAGTGTATGTCATAGCAAGTGTTGCGAGCGATCCGGGGAGGACCTGTTTTGGTGGTATTAGAAGGTCGTTTTTTTGGGGGGGTGGTGTTGATCTTGTCGCCCGAATCTTGTGTGGAAGTTACGTATGCTTTGATGCCCATGCAGCGTGTTACTTAAGCAGGGCGTCTGATGGTTGTCGGATCGTAGTTTTGTATGTCAGATCTGGGGAGAAGGTGAACATGTTATGGTTTGTGATAGTCAGATGTTTGGAGAAGAGACGAAACATTGTTCATGGCTTATAACTAAAGTGTAACGTTTCGTTATCAGTTGCTGACAAACCATTGTGGTCTGGTAAATTCTATATGATGGTTTGTACGAAAGAATATATGTAACCCTCTTTTCTATTTGTCATTTTGCAAGTGAGCAAGGTTGGGTTACGTTGTTATTAGTTGGAATTTTTTTGGGGGGGAATCGTGTATGTGCATGCTTTTCCCAACGAATCCGCTCATTTGTAATTTGTATTATTTTCAATATTCAAATTAAGAAGGCGCATCATTGTTGGGAGTCAGCATATTACAGAACTATTCAGTATGTTTTTTTTTTGTGCAGCACAAGTGGTTTGGTGACGTATGCTCGAACTTGTGCAGATTAGCAATCATGTGTGGGAGTGTTGTTATGGGGGGTTTGCTCTGCATGTGCTTATCTAAAGCTTATAACTGCTATAGTTATTAGTTAAGAACACTGCCCGAGTAGTTACTTGTAGTACCGGTGCCGTAGATTATTCAATGTCGTGTATTTTTTAAAAAAAAATCTTAAGAAATTAAAAAAGAATTTACAAGTTATTCTGGTAATGGTGTCTGGGAATAGTTTTAGGGGGTTTGTCCCGCACGTCTTCGTAAGATTGTAGATAACGGTATGGGGGGAAGGGGCAGTCGTATTAAAAAGAAAAAAGAAAAGAAGGACGAAGGTAGGCGGTAGGAGGAGAAGGGGTGATATAGGGTGGGAGGATGGTGGTGGTATGAAAAAAGTATGTACGGTTTTCCTTTACTACCTAGGTATCGAGAAATTGTAAAAAGACTTTTATGTGTACCTAACTGTTTAGTTTTAACATATACCTACAAGGGATTGAATTCGTGGGAAGGTAATAATATTACAAAAAACGTGTATATCATGTTTTGTGTGTTCAGAACATTGCTGGGTGTTTTTTGTTAGTGTGGGTATGGAGGTATATTAAAAAAGATGTTATGTATATGCGGATGAGTGGGCCCTTAGTTTATTTAGTCTGTGTCGGGATTCGTATACGTTAGATAGATTATGCATCCCTTATGTATATGTTTTTATTATTCAAAAAAAAAATTAATTTTTACTTTTATTTTTTATTTTTATTTATTTATTTATTAATTTATTTATTAATTTTTTAATTACTATATGTAAACGTATCGTGGAATTATCCTATAATAGTTTTGTAGTAGTGAGTGATTTTCAAGAGTTTTAATACGTTCAAGAGTTTATTTAGTTATCCCACCATATCTTGGTGTATAAAACATCGTTAGATTGGATAAGGGATTATATACATTATGGTAATATCAGTGGATTGCATGTAGGAAACCATCGCAATGGTAGGCGTATGAATGGTAAAAGTTGTTATACACTTACTCAGATGTATAATCAACCACTCGCGCGTAGTTGCATATCTGAAATTTTAGTGACTTGGGGAGTACGAAGCTAAATCTTAAAAAAAAAAAAAAAATGATCCGCGGGTATCGGATCAGGAAGACGGAGTATAAAAAGTTGAATAAAGTGGTTTCTGAGGTGTCACATGTAGGAACCTAAAGTGTTCTGATGATATTCCTTTGCCTCATGGTTTTAAGAAGCTATAAAGATCTATCCAATACGTGTCATCAACGACTGTTATTGCATAAATGACTTCTATCCGATAGGAGGCAGTTGAGTCTAATGGTCTTATAACTGGATTTAGGTATGATCAACAGAATTAAGTATCGGATTTATCTCGTATTATGTAGAATTCTTATTGAGGAATAAATACGAACACGCCCATTCCGCCATATTGCGGAACTACCGTTATTTAGTCCCGTGCTAATAAGAGATTTCCGGGATTTAAATACGTATAAGAGCTATTTTGTTATCGTATCTTGGTGCGCAAAACATCATTAGTCTGGATAACGAAGTAATGTCGTTATGATATTAGCTCAATTGTAGGCAGAACCTGCCTGCTTATATATGAATGGTAGTATCTAAAGACTCGGGGAGTACGAACCAAGTTCTTTCTTAGTTAAAAAAATGACAAATCCAGCCATTACCTGAGGTGTCACATGCAAAGGTCTGAATTGCTCTGTTGTTATTTTTTCGCTCCTGGTTTTATCAAGCGATACACACTTATCCTTTTAAACATCGAAAAATATTGCGAACAAAGTTTTATCTGACAAACGGTAGCGCATTTCCTGAGGTGTAGATGCAAAAATCCTCTGATGCTATCCTTCCGCTCCTGGTATTACAGAATCCTAAACATTTATCCTTTATGTGACAGCATCTAACAACTTTACAGCGGAGTCTAATTTTAAGGTGGGAAAAAAATAAAAATGTTCTGATGACCAGAATTTGGTAAGATTCCGGCTGGGAGTTTCCTCAGCAGTATTTAAAGTATCGGAATCATATTGTGGATGATTCTTATAGTGAAGTAATTACGAACGTTCTAGAGTTGTTACTGTGTCAGATATAAAGGGATTACAAGCATAGTAGAATTTTTGTTAAATTGAATTCAGCACTCCATCTTATTGGGAGGTAGACGCCTGTGTTTTTATGAGCAGTATGCCCGTAGCGGTAAGATCGTTCGCCGGTAATTGCATAAATAGCAAGCGTTTTTTTGTTGTTCGTTAGACCAAAAGGACGCAGTGTTACAGGCATGCCCTCAAAAGGTTGAGATATCTATTTTACGCTTTTCTGAAATGTCACCAACCAAATGGTAGGTTGGCCTGACGATAAGCTTCTTATTCCTGGTTTAATCAAGTTATAATCAATTATCCAATCAAAAAGATATATAACAAGAAAGAAGAGGGAAGAAGTATATCCATCAGAAAGAGAAATTGTTTCGCCGTTAAGGGTTTCTTGAGTAGTGGCATCTTAACAAATATGCGTG